TGCCTCCCCTCCCTGCCCCCCAGGAACGAGGAAGCAGCTCCGGCCGTCACTCGGCAGCGTATTTCCCCGCTGGCACCATCCCCTTGCCCTGCATCCCCGGGTGGAGGGATCTGTCCCCACGCCGGTGAGTGGGGAAGGGTGCTGGCTCTGGATATGGCCGGGCAAAGAGGAAGGTTGCTCTTGCCCCTGCTGCTGCTGAGCCTCGCCGTGCTGGAGCTCAGACTGGGTAAGGGCTGAGTGGGATGCGGTGCTACCCATGGGGCAGGTGGGGAGTGGGGAGCATCGCTCCCTGGGTTGCTGGGTGGCCCTGGGGTGGCTTCACCCACAGAGGTGAAACACTATGGGTGCTGTTTGCTCTCTGATATCTCAGCCCCATCCCAGCGAGCAAACAGGGCTGCGCTTTGCAACACAGGAGCAATGAGCATGGCTTTATTTCTTTTGCCTCTTATGTATGTCTCCAGCTGGGCAGAGATCTTGGCCCAGCTGGACCCCCTCGCTGAACCTTGGCCCCTGCCGGGCTCATTACCTTTGCTATGACCTGCCCAGCAGCACCAAATGGACCTGCCTGGATGGCAGCATCACCAGGATGTCATGGGCCTGGAAAACTGCAAATGCTGTCCCGATGTTAGCACTTGACACAAAGCAAGAGCAGTGTCGAGTCGAGCACAGGGAATAACCCTGAGGCTTGTACCTCCTGTGAGCCTCAAGCTACAGCCATAGGTCCCCTCCTCCTGTGTACCTCACCGCCCCCCGCAGAGCTTTCATGGGTCGCTGCACGCCTCTAACGACTCACCCCTGAGCTGCACCCTGGGATTTCTTCCTCTATGCCCCCCTCTGTGGGGCTGGTTCCCCCATTGCCACTATTTACTCCCGGCGCTATCAGTTCCTGACTATCTGCAGCACAGAGCTTTGTGTAAACTGTTGCTGCTGCGGTTCCATCCCGTCTCACGGTCACCAGTTCCTGCACGGCTCTTCCCGTCGGACGGGTTTGTCTGACTTCCTCCAGCCACCGGTGAAGGTGGTGGAACAGGTCTTATTGCTGGTGCCTACAGGAGTTTCTGTCCTGAGACCCGTGATGCCCGTGGCTTGTTCCTGTTTTGTTAGGCTGGGGGATTTACGTGGCCTGCCTTGCTGATGATCATGTCGCCGTTCAGGGCATCCACGTGCTTGATCCATGCAGGACGGTGAATCCCCGCTCCTGACAATCCATGGCTGATGCGTAGCTCAGGGAGCTTGTGCCGGTGGCGATGCACAGCCATGGTCTCAGCCTTTCACCACTAGCCCTGGCGTGCCTCATTCTCCAACCTCTTTGCAGGGACCACAGTCACTGTGTCTCCAGTTCTCCCTACCTCCTCGACACCCTTTGAGTTAATGGCACCGCTGCCCACCAACTCCACCACCGCAGCCACCCTCCCTCCCTCCAGCCCTGAACCCCCCACCTCTGAGGTGCTCGCCGATACCTTCACAGCCAGCGCTGCAACGCCTCGGG